TATATGATAGAAATGAGTTACAAGTTCAAGCAACTTTCTAAAGGTCTCAGGTGAATCTCAAGGTCTCAACTTTGCACAATTACTTTTTGTGACATTTTCTTCAGAGTTGGGTGGGACTAGCTTTGGCGCAGGTAATGTCAAATCTGCCAAAGTACCAGTCAAAGTAAAGATAGTATTTGCAAAACCCTGGGGAAGCGTTCCGTGGCCATATTGTCGTCAGCCTAACGCGTATGAGCAGTCAATGCGGGCTAAGGCTTCCAAATCATGATATGAAAATAAAGTCAGTTTGACTGGAGGTGCTGATCTGTACCAAATCAATAAGTTATCTTGGAGTCCTGATTGCATTATTGCCCATGATAACACGGGCCGCGAGGCCATTAGAAGCTGAGGAGGGGTGACCCTGCAAAGCAGCTCTTGGGAGGTGACCGAGCTCCCAGGTTAAAAAGATACTTCTGCTGCTGCTGTTGTTGTTGTTGATTTTATTAGTGTAGTTGTGTGGTTGGAGTAATTGTAACCAAGGAGGGTGGGTGTTAATTGTCTGGAAGTGTCCACCCTCTATGGATGTTGTGTCCCCTGGCCCTTGTTCTGTGTTGGGTTAGCGCTGGGCTGGTCATTTCTTGCTGCCTATTGAAATGCTTCTTCAATATAAAAGAGCATTCACCGATATGTGCTATGTTCTTTTACGCAGACACCACAGTGGTGTCAGAAGTGAGATAGCATTGAGAAGTAGAATGGCACATCAGTGAACTCAAAAGGCAGACCACGAAGTTAGAGCCCTGGCGAAAGGCACCGTTGTATACACACTACATCAAACTCTAATTTTAAAAAAGCAAGGAAATTTTTTGGTGATTTTGGTGATAAGCACTTTTTAACCCTAGTCATAAGCATAGTCACAGTATTTTGAATGTAGTCCAGGACTAGGCTTAACTCCAGGAAAATGAACATAAAAGGGTACCTTCTAGATCTAGATCTAGTGTAGTTTATAAGGTTTTAAACAGAGAGGGATTAATATGAAGTACTTCAACTCTTAATTTCTAGTTGTCCACAATTAAATTTATAAAGCATAGACTAGAGCTGTCATGATAATGAAATTAGCTGACAATTAATTGTCATATAAATAATTGCAATTGATGATTTAATTTTCTTTTCTTCTTCACTGAATGCAATTATTAAAGTACAAGCATAAAGTGGCCAAATTGGCTGATCAGCCATCGTGTCTAATGGCATGTTTATAGCATGGTTACTTAGTAGCTAACACTGATTGTATTGTGAAAATGATACATTACACTGTTGTCAACAGTTACATATAATTTTGTGTTGAGTTAAGCAAAGCTTTTTTTTTCTTAAGAGTAAAAATATCACTTTGCTAGCATGCAAGCTAAAAACATTAGCTACATAGCAAATAAGGTGCCAAGTTAGAAGATAGAACATCTAACTCCCATCATGTGTCTTGATAAATGCATTCACTGCTTTCTTTTATTTACATTTATTTTCCTCAACCCAACACACTCAACATTTACATTCTGTTTTTTGCAGCATTATAAGATTGTAAAATCGAAGGACTGTGGAAAATTGTAGTCAGCTTGAATAATTGCAATCATCTCAAATAATTGTGATCATTTTCAGTGTTTTGAAAACACTCCTTGCAGCTTTTGTCATTCATAGTATGTCAGCATTGAACGTATTGTTCATGAACATGAATACGTAAGAACTTTTTGGTCTGAGGCTGAAAATTGGATTTCTACCTTTTATTCCAACCTACCTGATTTTCAATACGAAGACATTTTTTGTATCATTCTATCAATTTTTCTATACATTCTACTTCTTTATATCCACAAATGTGAATGGAGTGATTAATTGACCAGTCCTTGTATTTGCCCTTATGCTGAATCTCAGTATTATATGTGTTATTCCTTTAACAAATTTGCACTTAAATTTGGTGAATGTGTATAATGAGACAATTAGCTAATATTTTTGTACACCCTCCTATTAGCCTGGTATGCGTGTTATTTCTTTTAGGTGATTGCTTCAACGCATACACACCAGAAGACAGATTATGGTAATTTAAGTGCATCCCTAGTGACACCTAGTGGAGGGAAACGAGAACAATTGAAGAAATAACTCTGTCAAAGAACACAACAGTTGCATTTTGACTTTTTGATGTCACAACCATGAAAAATGTACATACGACCGCCCATTCAGCCAACAGCAGTCTAGCCTGTTCATTCATGATGAAGGGCCTTTTGCTTCAGACAGTCTGTAGTAGAATTACTGAAGGGAAACAGTTAAATAGTGAGCATTATGTGTCACTGCAGCCTTCCAAATGGTCCTGATGTTTCTGAGGATATCATTGCGAACTTATCAGTTTGTTCTGTGCATTTTAGCCCGGACTGCTTTTTGGAATGAGACACAATATAAAAGAGGTCACCCAATCAAAACAGAGCTTATTTACATATATCTGTTTTAAAGACACAGTAGCGGAAACAGCCAAAAAATGAAATAAGAGGTCAGAAATAAAAAAAAAATACAGAAGTTGTTAGTGGAATGCATGTCTTATCATTATTGAACATCTTTGATTGAGTTAATAACGCTGTTGGTGGTTAAAGTTCACATTTAGCCTTATTTTGGGATTGCCAGCTTTCAGGGATGTCTTGGCATGTGGGGAGCCTTATTTCAGGGATGTGTTAGTATGTGTTGCAAACTCAAGAAATTTGTCTTGGTGAGTGCACACGTGTATGACATGTAACATATTGAACAGAGCACACAATCATACAGACTGTTAATAAGTATTTAACTAGGAGAAAAATACTATGAAATACAAGAAATAAAATAAAGAATAAAAAAGAGCCATGAGAAAGGAGCTAAAGAGGTTACCTATTACATTCCATGTTCAGTACAAGGCTCTTCTTATTACATATAAACCTCTGCATGGCCTGGCTCCTCATTACGTGGTTGAGCCTTTATGTCCCATCCTGTACCTTGGTCATGATTTAAAATATCCACAGATGTTAAATTCTTGATTTACCATGGATGATTAACCTGGTATAACTAATATGGCTGTGAGGTATGAGTCAGCATTGCAGCCCTGCAGGAGAGAATGGAATCTTCAGGAAATACTGTGTTCAGCCTCTCCCCGTCACTTGGCCTAAATGTCTGGACACATTTCCTTTCCATGTGTTTATGATAGCTTCTACTGATAAACCCACTACAGCCTAAATGGAACAAAGTGCTCCTCAAATCATCCAGAAAGAACAAAGACACAGGAATCGGCTATGTAAAGAATATGAAAATGCAGTAGTGAAAGCAGGCGTTAGCAGTATAAAAGACCTTCACACTTGAGAATACCTGTCTTCACTATGACCTGGAAAAGGAGACAAGTGTATTTTGTCTCCTTGCACAGGGAGGAGGATGGTTTGAAGGCAAACAATTTTCCCAAAGACTACAGACAGAAAACTTCTTCTTCTGAACAAAGTTCACAAGGGAGGAGCAGTGAAGCACCTGGAGAGATTTTGTGAATAATCTCAGATCCCTCTTCAGATCCAGCATTATAAAAGAGGACAAGTTGTAGCAGGTGGGGGGTGTGGTTTAGCATGGGATGCCACAAAGAGTGGACTGGAGCTGATGCGGCACGCCTGAATCTTGTTTTCCCTGGGACTTCTTTATGTTCCTTCTCCACCTACAGTGACTATTTTTTGTTCTGACCTCTAAATTGGGTGAGACTAAAAGAAACTTTTGTGCTGAAACCAAGATTCTGTTGTGTGATTTCTGTGAAGTAGTGATGGGGAGATGGGGAGCTTCATGAAGTGTTGAAGGTTTCCAGCCAGCAGTGTTCAAAAATGGTTAATTTTTCAAGACTTCAAGTGCCCACTAGAGGTCCTTAGTGGTCAAAAGATTATAGGCCTGTGCAGCATGTAAAACTAAACAACTAGAAATGTATGAAAAACACTGTGCTATATCACCATGGCAACTTGTACTGCACGTCTAACCTGCTCCAGGGTAGGTTAAGTTCGGGATTTCAGTTTTCGGGGTCACTTTTTTTCTTTGTGACATTTGTGGTTTCAATCACAGGATAAACAAATCATCCTGCATAGATATTAAGAATATGTTGTGTTGTCATTCCAATAAACACAGTGGCAGTGACAGCAGTGCATTAATTTCCACATATGATAAGTGGGCTCCTATTGATAACTCCTCATGTTTCACATGACTGGCTGTTCATCTTAAGCATCATGCTTTCATGTGCATGAGGATCACTCATAGAGTAAATAATTCTGGGTTAGGTTGGGGTTAGTGCAATTTGGAAAATGGGGGACATTGCCCCAATAGTCATTTAATAGTCATTTACTGTAAAGATAAACTATATCTATGCATGAGTTTAGCATGTACAGGATGATGATTCATGAACCTACACACGTTCAGGGGAAATAAACTGAAACAGCAGTCAATTTTGTTTTCATTGCACAAAAAGAAAATGTTAAAAAGTGGCACTATTGCGGGAAGAAGCCTCCGTACCTATGTGCTCTTGAGAGTCTTCTATCAGGTTGTGAAGTTTTTACAGAATGCATATATGTCAAATAATTTATATTCGTTGCGTTTTTTTTAAAGTTATTAATTAAAGTATAGCACTAAAACTATTATATTTTAAAATGAAACCAAGGCCTCTATAAATTTGTCTTAATTAGTCCACATTATTTTAATTTGGTTGCTTTGCTCCCAAGTTACCCTACTTTTAGCTTAAAAAACATACAGCAAAAATCAATCCATTCCTGAAAATAGCCCATAGCTTACAAAAAGGCACCTAGCCTGTCATGTCTCATCGAGGGTAAAAGGAATGAGGTTCCAGAAGGGAAAAAGAAACACATGACTCTTTTGTTATGAGTTTAGCTGAGTGATTGCTTTCCTTGCTGTCCTGTTGTTACATAATTACCTTGGCTTCTCCCTCTTTTCAGACTTCTATGCAGGAAGTACTGTCAGTACTAGAGTGCTCAGCTGACCCTTACACTAGGTGTGGCCTCCAGCAAATCAAACAACTGTATTGTGCATACCGGTTTGTCGTTAAATGAAGTAGGCGGGGAAGGAAGCGAGTAAGATAGCACTGAAATTACTGGAAATGCGGCATACTTCACTTCTTCTAACTGCAAAGAACTTCCAGCACAGTTTATGCCCCAGAGGAGGATAGCATGAGTGCCGAGGAAACTATCTCACCAGAACAAATCTCACCAGAACAAATTCCAGACAGCACTCAGCCAGCCATGGAGAATGAACAAGAAGAAAGCCAGGTGGCAGAAAGAGAAGAAGAAAGCACAAAGACTTTGGGTAATGACAATGAACCTGTAGACTCTTGTGATGGTAACACTCAGTCCTCTACTGAACCCCGACCTCAGGAAGTAACATGTGATTCCTGTATGGAGAACCCCCGCAAGGCGTCCAAGTCCTGTCTCACCTGTTTGGTGTCTTACTGCGAGGAGCACCTGAGGCCTCATCTGGAGAACAGTAAGTTTCAGAGCCACAGGCTGGTGGAGCCACAGCTGGACATGGAGCTGCGCACCTGCCAGCATCACCATCTGGACCTTGAGTTGTACTGCCTGACGGACAGCTGCTGCATCTGTTCCAACTGCGAGACAGAAGAGCACCAGGGACATAGCATCACTCCAATAGGAGAGGCCCGCAAACATATAGAGGTATGTACTTTACGCCTTTAACGGCTGTACGTTGAGGGGCACCTTGACGTGAACTGGCAGGAAGTTAAATACTAAAGCTGTTGGCAAAGGCTTCAAATAACTCCACAGCTAGGAGATTATTTTCATCTGTGAATGGAACCAGTTGTTTAAAATGATCTTGGGAGTAGACTTTAACAATGCTCTTTGTCAAAATCATGATCCTGAAGTATGAATTGCCTTTGTAGTCATTGTAAGCATGTGTTTTAAAAAAAAACTGACCTTCTCCCCAAAGGAGAGATTTCTAAGATGAAAAGGGAGAATGTTTGTAATGCCTTACATATTGAACTGTCCAACTAACAGTAAGCAGACCTGACTTCCTTACCGCATAGTTTGCATTTATTTTTGCTCCCACACACTGGATTCTTTGTGTGTGTTTTTCTTCTGAAGGGAGAGATTCAACAAAAACAGAAGGAAATGCTGAAGACTTTGTCAGCAGCAGAACAGGCCATCAACAAGCTACAGAGCAACACTGAATCCATAGAAGTGAGGCCTTACCTTATGTAACATTTTACTGTTTTGCTGTTGTTAATGACACTGCTTTACCTAATTGTAGCCATTCCTCAGATAATTCATATAAAAATGATGTTTAGTCAAAGAGGTAAAGGTTAATTCCACATTTTATTTTCAAAACATCTGCATTCTTCCATCGTTTAGATGTAAACAAAGTCACTTGGAGTAGTTTAAAGTGAAATGGTTCATTGTAGAGAAACATCATTCAGATTTCTTTACAATTATGGTGACAGGAACCAAGGGTCATGACATCTACAAAGCAAATATAGCCATTATATTTACTATCCAAAACCACTATTGAACCCACACATACCTTCAGAGTTTTATATGCAATTTTAGTTATGGTAAAATATGGTAAATATGAGAGAATACTACAAAATGAGACAATACAACACCATGCATGTATCTCTCTGCCATGAATAGATTTTTTAGGCCAAACTCGTACTGCAAAACTATTGTTAAACAATGTCTCAGGTACAAGGCCATGTATCATAACCATTTAATGTCATAGCTTTCTGTGGAGAAGCTTTAAACAGAGTTATGGAATAACTGAAATCTGGGAAGAGGACCATGCCTGAAGCCCCTCCTCCTTCCAATCTAACACCCTACACATTCCTATCCCTACCTTCCGTTTCCCATGATGAAATTTGGCAATCCTCAACCAACACCCACCCCATCTCCTCCCTGTTCCTCAGTCCTATATCAATACTACAGCAGTTAAAAAGGGGGTGGGGGGGGGGTCCCGGGCCTTCTAGCTCCAGGCAGAAGCCACCCAGATCTTTATCCCAAGTTCTCTGAGTTCTCATGTTCACAAGTTCTGAAGTCTAAAGTTTTCTCCCCTACCTTAATCAGTTTCCCACATAATACCACCATATGTGAAGACACAGTGTAAACTCACAAAGAGGCATTAAACACTTGACGAATGGTTCCTATCATCATCATCATCATGAACAATTCCAGGTAAATTTCTTTAGAGTTGATCATTTGTCATCAAACCAGTCTGAATGACTTTGTTCTTGCTCATTAAATTGTGCAGCAATGTTAAAAATGAGTGAGAAATAGATTCTAGACTATTTTCATTAAAAATAATTTATAGTCATATGACTATAAATGATCTGTCCCATAAAAAGTCAGCTTTAAAAATCATAAATCTTTGCCTACAGAGCTCTGTGGCTGGAGTACGTGCTGTAATCGAGCAGCAGTTCTCAGCCCTGCAAGCAGCAGTTGAGGATGCTCAAAAAAGCACCTTGGAAATCCTGGAGGGGGAACACAAACAAGCTCTAAATCAAGCAGAAAGCATTCAGACCCACCTAGAACAGAGGATTGGTGAGCTGAAGAAGACCATGGCGCAGGTGGAGCGGCTCACCAGGAATAAGAATGACGTTGATTTTTTACAGGTCAGGCTTGTTTGGGATTACTACAATGAGGCTCACTATCACAAAAATCATTTATGTTATTTAAGCACTTAAATGCACAGGCTTATTATAGTACTGTACAAAAGCCAGAGACCACATTTATTTATTTAATCTCCACTCAAAACAGCCATTAAGTACAAGTTATTTATTTTTGGGATTTATTTTTCAGAAGATTAGATATAAGATAATTAAAAACTGGAATCTGACAAAAGTTTCCATAGCCAGAGAGAAAAATGACTGTCACCATCAGAGAAACAGCACTTAAAGCTTTCATCTTTGAGAGAGAGAAAAAAATCAAGCTCCAGTGCTCAGATCTGAAAAAAATCCACGTCTTTCCACTGTGAGCAGACAATTCAACGCTATAGGTCTGAACAAATGTGTAGATGTCAAGGAGCTATTACTGAGTAAAGAAAATAGACAAAAAAGAAGAAAATCTGAAAGGCAAACAAAGACGCTGCTGGTGTTCTCAAAACAATGGACTGATCAGCCCAGGGTCCAGACCTCAGCATCACTGAGTGTGTGTATGATAAGTGTGATCATGAGAAGCAGAACATTAAACCAACTTGTTAGACTGAACTTTGGTGGTGTGGAAAAATATCAGATTTCTTTGAAAAACTGTAAGCAAGTCAGAAGTACAGCAAATGTTTTGCTTATTTTTTTTTCCCGACACTGAAAAATGAATAACTTCATGGCTGTTTTAACTGGAATTTAAAAAAAGGCAGGTCAGGTCATTTAAAGGGCTTCAAAAATGTCTTCCCAAATGCTCCCTTTGCTAAGAATGAATTAAAACTGTTGGGGTCCAGTAAGCATCGAAATAGTAGGATTCATAATGTCAGTGAGACAGCAAATTAACTAACTTTTCAATTGTCCCCATTATTGTTCATGAATTATTAGTCATAGTAGCTTCTTATGTTGGAGCTTCATGAACTACAGAGCCAATCTATATTAATGTACTGTTGATATTCTTGGCTTCAACGTTCTAAATGTAAATCTAATAGTTCCTAATATGGGAAATGTTAGTTTGGATTAGTGCCTTCACAGCTGGACTTGTATACTGCAGGAATACACAGACTGGAGAAAGGGCTTGATAGATGTCTGTTTACCGGGTGTTTACATCAGCCTCATAGACCAGCTGGCCACATTTAACCATGTTGTCAAAGAATCAACTCAGAAGTTGTGCGAACTGGTGCTGTCCACCTATAACGTTCAGCTCAAGGAACTCTGCAAAAGTGGTAAGAGCTGAAGTAAAGGACTTTCTTACACGATGTTTACAAAACAATATGTTTATGTAATTTCCTCTGAATGATATCTGACTTTGCACACAGAGAAACTAGGTATTAAGACGATGGTGCAGCCAAGTTCCCCGACCACACAACAAGCATCTTTCCCAGAGCCTGTAACTAGGGATGACTTCCTTAAATGTAAGATAATAACTACCTGGAAATTTTTCATTCATTTCATGGAATATTGCTACCAGGAACATACAAACAAGAAGCCACTTGTGTTAAAAAAACTTGAAACTTACCTCTGTAAAAGTAATGTAGGGGAGAGTGGGGCACCACATAACACAGTTTGGTTTGTGCTAAATAATTTAAAAAAAATTTAGAGCACAATTTGTGTTTTATAAATACAACCAACACATCTCTGCTGCAAATAAATAAATGTATGTTTATGAATAATTCAGCTGAAAGTGGTACAAGTACATTGGGGTAATTATGAAAGACTGAACGCCTAGTTGTTGTAGTTGTAGTTGTTGCTACAAATTCTCATAATTTGATGCCAACACAATTAATTCAACACAATTTTATGTTGTTTAAAGTAAATGAGCTTCCCAACCTAAATACATAAAAATATATTCATCAAAATAAATTGGCCTATGAACAAGGAATAGAAGCTGTGTCATATGTGGCAAATTTATTTTTGACCATAAAGTGGAAGAGCTAATGACAACACAATAAAACATTTTTAAGTACATTGCAGTTGAATCTGCACAGAGAACTTTATTAACTATTTAAAATGTACTATTTTAAATGTATATGGGAGGATATGGACTTCACTCACTGTAATCATTGGGATGCTTATTTGCAACACTGTGTTACAGTTTACCCCTTCGTGTAGATACCGCACTTTAGCCTCGCTGTGTCTTGCTGTGAGTTATTTATTAGCTTAAAAACTGTGCTACATTATTGGCACCGAGAACATGATGAAAATAATAAGTGTAAATCCTGTGACTTTTACACACAATTCAGTAATTGAAATAAATTCAGTAAAAAAAAGTTACTTTTGTGGTACAAAAACAGTCCTCAGGGTGATTCTTGAGAAACGTCTGAGTACTATAAAAATTTATGGATGATAAGATTAAGGAAATGCAAGAAGAAGGCCAAAAGCATGTTGTACTTGAACCTATTTACCTACATGAAAAGTTCATGTTACATTTTACCCCATGTCAGTTTGTGCTCTGCTCTCCCCTACCTAGCATCATGTAAAACATTTTTTTCAATTTCCCATTTTTTTAAAATGTTTTGAGTAATATTATTGAGTAAAATACTCTCATTGCATACATTATAAGCATTCATTTCTTACATTTTATATTCATTTTTAGAGGCATCAATTCCAGCACATTGTGAATATTCATATTAAAGTAATTTCTACATATTTTACATGCAGATGCCATCAATCTAAGCTTCAATCCTGACTCCACACACAAGTTCTTGAGACTCACTGAGGACAATAGAAAAGCCAGTAACACCACACCGTGGCAACACAACTACCCCGATACATCTGACCGCTTCGAGTACTGGCGGCAAGTGATGACCTCAGAGAGCCTTTACCTGGGCCGGCACTACTTTGAGGTGGAACTGACTGGAGAGGGGGCCTATGTGGGACTCACCTACAAAAGCATTGATCGCAAAGGCCAAGAAAGCAGCAGTTGCATCACAGGCAATGACTTCTCATGGTGTTTTGGACGAGAAAGCCACGGCTACTCAGCATGGCACTCTGATGTAGAGACCTCTCATGAAGTGGGAGAGTTCCCCAGGATTGGATTCTATGTGGACTACGAGAAGGGACAGCTGGCCTTCTATGGCGTAGCCGAAACTATGAACCTCCTTCATACGTACACCGCTAACTTTCTTGAACCATTATATCCTGTGTTTTGGCTCTCCAAGAAGGACAATGCTGTTGTTCTTGTTAAGCCAGGCGACTAATTTATGATACTTTAAGAGAAAGAATGAAGGTTGAAGAGATGAAGAAATTCATAGGTATTTTATTTTCTTAAGCACATAAAACAACATTGTGTATTCATTGTCCAAAGGTGAATTTATAAATCATTTGAGAATCTACCTTAGCTTTTATCACTGAGCCGATCATAATAAAGTATTACATTTTCTTCTTATAGAATGGTCAAAGAAGTAATAAATGGATAAATAACTATTTTCTTGCTTAATGACATTGTGATTTTCTTAAAACCTTTTCATCTCTCAATAGCTTAAGTTGTACTTCAATCAGTTAACTCTTTCAGAGGTCATTATTCTTTAAAGATCGATGAGCAGGCACAAAGATTGTATATGTTTTACGCATTGAAGTCAGTTTCATCATATACAGGATTCACAAAATGCACACCTGAGTGTGTCAAGGTAATGCCATTCAGACTGTCCGTTCCGTACAGCCCAGGGATTTCTGGCAATGCGTGCGACTTCTCAAACATGGGGTTGTCAAAGCCATGATCTATGGGCCCTCCTAGTTCATCAATCTCACTGTCCTTCTTCCACCTGATAAGAGATGGCAAACGTGGTGTTCTGACCAAGCCTCGACGATAGGCAACCACAATTGCTGCCAAGAAAGCCACCAAAGCCAGAGTGCCCAGCACAATCCCAGCCACGTCTCCACCAGTCACCCCAGCCACACCACTACTACTTGCACCTGAAGATGCATGAAAGTCTGCACTGTCTATGCCCAGGTGGGAGCCTTGGTCATGGACATCCTTCAGTATGTCGCGGGCAAGAGCCTCAGCCAGCACACCAGACTCTGAACCTGTGTTCTGGTCCAAGAGGACAACCTGGATCTCATGGCTGGTTTCATACGGAATGACTCCCAAAAGTCTATGTGTGTTCGACACCTTTGATGCAGCCATCTGAATGGATTTATACTTGGGCAGGGCTAGGAAGAGGTGTTGCAGGCGTTGGCGATATGAATCAAGGTTGAAGCTGGTGGAGAACTGAATGGTCACAATGGCACCACAGACATCGCAGCAGTGTCCCACCGGATGCAGGGGCTTCTTGCAATCCAGCTGTGAGCACTGTACATTTGCACAGATCCGTTCATGGTTGCCGGAATTTCCGCACGCACAGCCAGTATTATCTTTGCAGCCCGATCCATCAACTCTGAGTGATGAAGATCCATGGAATAGAAGCTTACCAAGGGTAGATGTCATAAACTGAGAGAAGTCTGAGTCACTACTGAACTTTTGCCCCAGAACCGACACACTTTTGACAGAAACTGTGTTTTCGTTCCCTGAAACATCTACACGGAAAGACGAGGCATCCCGGAACACCACATCATCCTGCTGGCAAGGTACACTTTCTTCGTGAACAAAGAACAGATATGAACCTTTCTGGAGGTCATCTACAGAAGAAGCAGCATTCCACAGAGCCGGATTGAACCACTTTAAAGAGTCAAATTCTTTGAAGTGGGTAGTGACACCAGCCCCGCAGCCAGGGTCTTGACCCTCTCCCACAGAAAAACTAGCCCCTGAGGCCAGAATAAACTCTCCATCCACAGGTAGACTCATTCCAGCAAGTGTATGAGCCGTCTCTACGTACACGGCCACTTTCCCCTGAGCTGGAAACACCACTTGGTCACTCCCGCAGGGCACAGAGCCCTTGTCCCAGTTTGTTGCATTTTCAAAGTTGGTGTCTGGGATCCATTCTTTGTAGACTGCAAGGGCAGAACCAAACATGCAGAGGAAAAGAAGGAGATCTCGTGTGGTAGCCATCATGACAAAGAAAGGAATAAGTCAGAATGTAGCAAAAGCGACCTTTGTTTTGTCAGTAAATGTGTGACTATCACATGGAAACACTAAATCCCTCTGGTAATGAGAATTCAATGCAGGAGTTTGGTAGTCAAATATTTACCACAGATAGAGTCATACTGAAGAGCAATGCATGTTGAAGGAAACCAGGTTTGTCAGAATTCTCCTAACACAACACCTTTTACAAAATGAGCTTCAGGAAATTAGCTTATCAGCTCACATCAGATGCAGCAAGTACCAAAACTTGTGTTGGGCTAATATCAGTTGAAGCTTATGGGGCCTGTGGGTCAAAGTTGGCCTGCATGGATATGTGATTTGGCTCCCCAACAACCTATCTTATCCCCCTTCCTCCAGTGAGAGAACATGTATGTTTTATAGTCTCTTATTTTTCTTTAAAAAGTATTTCTGAAGTAGTTTTACTGATAAATACATTTTGTAATGCTATAAATTAAAACTGGAAAAAAAATTGTCACTGACTGCAACACAGATTTGACAACATTCGTAGCTAGTTGTGAGCTAAAATAGCATGATAGACGATTGTACATGGACAAGAGGTTTAGAGACCACTAGTGTGAACAGTTTCATTTCACTGACTTTGTATCTCATATGTAAGGAAACCATTGAAATATTCAATGAACACAGTTTTTTCCACATAAAATGGCAATGTATGAAAATGTAAAGCAAACAGTTAGCTAGCTGTCTTGTCTTTTTTGGCCCTCAGTCTACTGCCTTCTAACTTCATGTTGAAGAACCAAAGATCCTACGAAAAACGCTACCAAAGATGTTCCAAAGTTTAGAATCTGTGTTTTTAGTAAAATAAAACAGTTTTGACATCACACTGACAGCTTTCATCTCATCAGGTCATGTACACAAAACATGTGATTACACCCCTGGCTCTGATATAAGGGGGAAATAAAGGATGAATCTAATCCAGTCTTGTAACAAATCTATCTGGTAATATTACACACTTACATTGTGTGAGGTGATGATGTTAGCTGTGTATTTTTTTTCTATAGTAGTAGAGTTTGAGCCATTTGAACATGATAGCCCACTTTTAGATACTCATCTCAAGTAAAAATTGCTCATTTTACAGCTTAGTAGCATTTAAAGTAGAAATCGAGATCAGCCAAAACTCAAAGAGTCCATATCTGTATCATAAAAGTATAAATGGTATTGTGCCGTCTCTAATAAATTGTGTTACTGTTCTGAAAGAAAGAAAAGTAAGAAAATATGGCAGTCTGATTTTTATTTATTAACATTATTATTATACATATATATATATATATATATATATATATATATATATATATATATATATATATATATATTTAAGTGTGTGTTCTCTGTTGAGGTTGTGTTAACACATTTTCACTAAGAAAATCAATAATAAAAGTCTTTTGACTGGGTGTGTTCAAACTTTTACATGTTGTTTTCTGTACTAAAAGTATTCATAATTTATTTTTTTACATTACCTTTTTTTTACCTTGTTTATCCTTTTGAATTAAACAGGCTGGTTTTGATTTTGTGCCTATAAGACTGATAAATGATATAATGACTAATAAAAAAAGCCTCATTCAAAAAACAATGAATGAAGAATAGGTGGAGCTAAAGTGCTTCAGACTGAATAGATTTATGTTAAACATTTGCTGAGATCCTGGGATCACGGGAAGAAGAAAAGTACATTTTCTCTTTCTATCTTCTTTATTTCCAAAGACATTGTGATAATGGCAAAGTCACTTTGAAAGTTCAACCTTGTTACACAAATTATAGACTGAAAGTAAATAAATAACCTATAAATGAATACATTTAAATCATTACAGTGCTCTCACAGCATTAGCGTGGATGTTAGTTAACCACATTTTGTGTATTTTCTAATTCTATGCCATTTTTTTTCCTTTCAACCTTGTTACTCATTTAAGCTACTGTCAGCAAAAATACCTTACACAAAACGAGACATTTGTCCTGAAATGCATAAACATAATTATTGAATAGTTAAGTTAAATCTATGTTTTCTTAGATGCAATGTTGAAGAATTTTTACAATTTACAAATTTTTTTTATATATTTTTTGAGTTACAAGGCATCTAGCCTTCTCATTATCAAGCCCTTTACTTTCCAAGACGTTACTCCATTCAGTAGAGAACTGTCTGAGAGAGAGGATAACTGCCACTCAGTATTATCTTATAATAATATAAAGTATAAATATATTACCAGATGCTAGATGGCGCCCCCGAGCGAGACCAAAGTGAATGAGTTAATATGGAGCATTTGAACTAAATCAGAGTTTGTAAATGCGTAGACATTTTCATATAGAAGAATGCATTCGTTTTCTAAACACAGAACAGCATTAAAGCTTTAAACATTTCTGTTATATTCTGAGCATTTCTGAACTCCATTTATAGGACTTTATTATGGCGCCTCATGTACATCAGTGACTGCGAACCCCTTCACTCCACTCCACTCACAGCCAATGGGCTGCTTAGCTCGCCAACCAATCAGCACTAAGGAGCAGCAAAGCCAACCAATCAGCACTCAGTAGCAGTAATGCCAACCAATCAGCACTCAGTAGCAGAAATGCTAACCAATCAGCACTCAGTAGCAGAAATGCTAACCATTCAGCACTCAGTAGCAGTAACGCTAACATCCTTCTGCCCAAAACTCCTTTGCTATAGAAAAGCAGAAAGACACTGGCATGTTTTCAATGCTTTTTAGTGAAACACATCCTTCTGCTTTCCATATTTAAATGAAATTGTTTTAGTCACGAGAAAACGCAATCTTAAGGCAGATCTCAAATGGCTCCGTAGTCCTTATATAGTGCACTACACAGGGGGCGAAATACTGCACTGTTACTTGCATGTATAAAGGCAGCCGATGGGGATGCAGCCACGAAGCCAAAAAAAAATAAATAAATAAAAATCGCAGAGGTCCTTCAGGCAGATCTACTGATGCCTTTTGTTTACATACACGTCACCAGGAAGTTCATCCAAAATGTTGGGACAGGTGAGTAGCGTCCACGTCTTATTAAATAAGCTAGATATTATTTTTGAGACACTGTTTATTTTAGAGTGGATAGCTGCAGTTACGAAGTTTTCTTAACTGTAACGGCGACTGATTTGATGAAAAATGTATTTCTTACAAACACTGTTTCTAACCAAACGGTAGGAATGATAAAGTCTGCTTGAACTAATAAGCCTGATATCGACAGGACTCCCAGGCTGATGTCCCTCTTTTTGATGAGGATGAGAATGACAGCAAGAACAAGACAAAAATCCAGTAAGTCTCTGATTTATGAAAAAGAAGGTCATTCTTCTGTTTGCATTTATGTAGTAGTTTCTACATTTGTGCCAGAATGTTATATTTTCTGCTTTCTATCAATATTCATCTGTCGGGCTTCACAGTATACACAGACCGGCCACTTCAGTAAGTACACCTCCTTGTTGCTACACTCATTGTCTGTTTTATCAGCTCCACTTACTATGTAGGAGCACTTTGTCATTCTACAATTACAGACTGTAGTCCATCTGTTTCTCTGCATACTTTGTCAGTCCCCTTTACCCGGTTTTTCAATCATCAGGACCCCCATAGGACCACCACAGCGCAGGTATTATTTGGGTGGTGGATCATTCTCAGCATTGCAGTAACACTGATGTGGTGGTGGTGTGTTAGTGTGTGTTGCACTGATCTGAGTTGATCAGACACAGCAGTGATCAGACACTTCAGTGTCACTGCTGGACTGATAATAGTCCACCAACCAAAAATATCCAGCCAACAGAGTCCTGTGGGCAGCGTCCTGTGACCACTGATGAAGGACTAGAGGATGACCAACACAAACTGTGCAGCAACAGATGAGCTACTGTCTCTCACTTTACATCTACAAGGTGGACCAACAAGGTAGATGTGACTAATAGAGTGGACAGTAAGTAGACACAGTGTTTAAAAACTCCAGCAGCACTGCTGTGTCTGATCCACTCACACAAGCACAACACACTAACACACCACCACTACGTCAGCATCACTGCAGTCCTGAGACTGATCCGCCACCCAATTATACCTGCTCTGTGGTGGTCCTGTGGGGGTCCTGTGGGGGTCCTGACCATTGAAGAACAGGATGAAAGGAGGCTCACAAAGTATGTAGAGAAATCGTAGAACATGCACCTATATGGTAGGTGGAGCTGAGGAGGTGGTTTTAATGAAGTAGATGGTCGTTGTACATACGATTGCATATTTGTAGTTGTATTTTCAATGTTTTACCTCCACAGCAGCAGGAAAAGCAAATATAGTGGATTAGCTCAGTGGTTCCCAACCCTGGACCTGGAGGACCTCCTGCCCAGCACATTTTTGTGTTTTCCTGCCAAAACACACCCACTTCAACTCAGAAAGGGATTGTTAGCTGATCAGTTGGATCAGGTGTGTTGGGAGCAGGGCAAACACTAAAATGTGTGGGGTAGGGGTTCCTCCAGGATCAGTGTGGGGATAACTGGATTAGCCTACATGAAAGCAAAGTTATAATGCTTCTGAATTTTACCTGTCCTGATTTCTCAGCTCATCTGAGCACAAATTTAAAGAAAGTTTTCAGTTAATCAAGTTGTATCACCTGTCACTTTTTCACTTTGTCACTTTATCACTTAACTGTAGTCCTGTCATCCTATGGCACAAATCCAGATTTGGTTCTGAATAAGACTATAAAAATGGCCTTAAATAAAAAAATTCATATAAACATTGTTAAATGTTCATCCAGAGTGTAACTATACAACAATTCAGCACTTGTTCTGTGTTTAATTGTTCCTCATCATACTGTATATTGTTATTTTTTTCTTCTCAGACATCCTTTGGCCTCTTTCTTCCACCTGTTCTTTCGCATAAGTGCCGTCCTTGTCTACTTGTTGTGTGAGTTTATCAGCAGTAGCTTCATTGCCTGTATGGTCACCATAATTCTACTGCTGTCATGTGACTTCTGGACAGTCAAGGTAGGTAGAGTTACATTTTATTTTTATAGTATTATAAAGGAACAGTGATTACAGTAATCTGCAACTTTGTTTAAAAGCATGCACATCTTGTATTTTATTCACTCAACTAAATGCAATTATGTCATGTTGTATTTATGTAGTAGTTTTTAAAATGTATGTGTGTCCTTTATCAGAATGTCACTGGACGGCTGCTGGTGGGACTGAGGTGGTGGAATCAAGTTGATGAGAAAGGGAAGAGTCACTGGGTGTTTGAGTCCAGAAAGGTATGTGAATGTATCAACATTGTTGCCCTCTTCTAATGAAAGAGTGAAATAGTACTGTGATTTGTCAACTTCAGACTAAACCAACTTCTAAAGCTTTTATGGTGCAGTAGCTACAAACATGACTTTCATAGTGACTGGTTTAAAGTCCACTCTTTTGCTTAGACATCAAAAACAATGCATGAAATCTGTTTGCTTTTGGAATATTTTGTTCTTTATTTCCTTTTTTAGGCAAACAGCAAAAAGGTTGTCTCAAGTTCAGAGTCACGGATTTTCTGGCTTGGTCTTATTGTGTGTCCAATCTTATGGGTTGTCTTTGTGTTCTCTACTCTCATTTCCTTCAAAATCAAGTGGCTGGTAAGTCTCAAAGTCCAGGTTATGCAAATATTTGATCTGTTCTCAGGTCTTTTCAAAGCACTATTTTAAATGATTTAAGGCAGTATACTTTGAGCTTTAAACTTTTATACACTCTCAAGAAAGGGGACAAACGCTGTCACTGTGGTGGTACCCTCAAGGGTACATCTTCTGTACATATAGTTACCATGTTCTTTTTTAAAATATCATTTACTTCATACGCCCTGTCTTGACTCCAGGCTTAAAAAATGTCAAGTTATGAAAAGATACAAACATGCCTCTTTCTCCCAGAAAAGTTGATTGTGGTGTGCCTTTAAATATATATATAAAAAAAAAAGATACAAAGATTAAAAAAGGACCTTACAGAGATTGTTGTAATTTTCAGGGTACATTTACAATGTTTGTACCTTGTAGGTACTGTTCCCACAAAGTTAGAAGCGTACAGATGTCCAACATGTCTTGGTATGCTGAAGCATTAAGATTTCCCTTCACTGGCACTAAGTGGCCTATGCCTGAAAAACAAGCCCATAGCATTAACCCTCCTCCACCAAACTTTGCACTTGGCATAATGCAGTCAAGCAGGTAATTTTCTCGTGGCATTCCCCAAACCCATTGTCATCCATCAGACTGCCAGATAGAGAAGCATGATTCGTCACTCCACAGAATATGTTTCCACAGCTCCAGAGTTCAGTGGCAGTGTGCTTTACTAGGCTGTGTGCTTAATTTTTTCTACCTGTTAGCAATGGGTGTGGTGGAAACACCTTAACTCAATAATTAGGAGGGGTGTCCCAAAACTTTTGTCCATGCAGTGTGTGTGTGTGTGTGTGTGTGTGTGTGTGTGTGTGTGTGTGTGTGTGTGTGTGTGTGTGTGTGTATAGATTTATACCTCTCTGTTTTGTCATGTATATTTGCGCAGGCAGTGGTGATTATGGGAGTTGTATTACAGTGGGCTAATCTCTATGGGTATGTTCGATGCAAAGTTGGAGCTGGAACCAACCTGAGGAACATGGCAACCAACTATCTTGGCCTTCAGCTTTTTAAGCAGGTAAAGTAGCTGTTTCATGTGATTAAGATTGACAACACACATAAGCAGATACGTCTTTAATATAACTAATATTTTTATTGTTTTCACACAGGCTATGAACAAATCACAAGGACCCTAATGTGCCTACAATTGACAGTGTTGGTGCTGCTAATGTTAACTAATGTAACTTTTTTTTGGCATTCAGAGGGAAGCTCAACTGTACCTTCTTTTAATTTTATTTTCATTTCATTTTCATTCTCAAACCAAGTGAATGTGGATAAGTTATTTTGGCTTTTTTATTTTATTAAATCAGTAGAGTAAACAGATTTCTCAAGTTTATTTTCCAATCCCATTTGAATATAGTGGGATAAAAATTACAGCAATATGTTGTCCAGAATATAAGTAGAATATATAGTTATATATTTTAAATATGTATTTAAAAACTACATTTTGTACATTTCATTAATCATAACAATAATCCTATTCTGCTTCTTGACTGTTAGTGAAACTGCACTTTTTAGTAACCTATGACTTCTGTAATAATTCCATATACATTCCTGAAGGATGCATGAGAGAAGCATTATAAAAATATGGGACTAGTTCTTTTGGCTGGTGTTTGTAATAAAACATCTAAAGAATCTTGTGCTATTATTATTATTATTATTATTATTATTATTATTATTCAGTTCAGGTGAGTTTTATTTGTGTAGGGTTTTTGTAGCACCATACAACGTATGTCATATGCAAAGGTTTGGGCACCCTTGGTCAAATTATGTGAAGTGAAATTAAGAACCTCTAAAGAGAACACAGTTCTGCACAGTTTATTCACAATTAAGCCATCAAGTTTATTTGCTGAATTAAACATATTGGGGAATTTGTCTGTAAAGAAATTGGAACTGTTTTCTCTCTTGGATTCTGTTGTGCCTGCCTGTCGAACTGACTATATTCAGCAGATGCAAATGTTTCTCTCAGAGTTTCTCATCTAGTCAAGGGCTTGATACCTGGTCTTTTTCTCTTATTCTTTCAAACGTCTCTGCCTGTGTTTCTGCTCGTTGAGCTGATTTTTAAAGGCACAGTGTGCACAATTTTACGTAATCGGGCTGCTTCTTTCCTGCTTTGGGCTAGTGTAGGCACTAGCTGTCTACCCTTAAGCATATTTACATTACACTAAAATTTGTGACGTTTACCAAGGCCCAATCCCATTCCTTATTTTTGCTCCTACCCCTTGTTTGTTGTAGTGGTTGAAATCTTCTCCTACGAAATGGGACAACCCTGAAATAAAAAAGAGCTTTACTTTATTAACAGGCTACTAACGGTGCTCTGTAGGTGACCCTGCCAGTCTGCAGGGATAGCAGAGGAGGGTTCAGCTACCTCGCCGCTGGGCTTTAGTTAACTTTAGGGCATCATATGCCTGTGATGTGAAGCTGAAGTCAGCTATTTGCCAGCTTTTTGTTCAGATTTTTCTGTTCTTCTTTAAAAGGTGGAATGACATTTAACTAGCTAGCTACCAAGAAATTACCATACTACTAATGTTTTTTATGCTTGTTATGAAGAAAAGGGTCAAAATACATTGAAACAACATTAAACTGAGATAATATGAGGGTTATTGTATTTTTTTTGTATTTTTTTAATGTTTCTTTGGTCAGTTGTGCAGCCACTGTGCAGTGTTTCTATTTTTCTCCTCATAACACACTGTTTGGAGTGTGCCTCTGAACAACAGGATTGGGCCCAAGTCAGTTAAAGGTGCAGTATGTAATTTTTTCAATGTCTTTCTAACACTAATTATTTAGAGATATCTGCAGAGCATGGTGAAAAGTAATCCTTGAAATAATTTTTTCAGTGCAAGCATACCACTTGAAAAACATAAGTACATAAAAAACACCTCTACAATACTTAAAGGCTAGGCCAACTGCTTGAAACTCCCCAAACTTCACTATAGCCACACTCATAACTAAGGAGAGTGAGCACATCACATATGCTATTTTTTTCAAAATAGACCAAAATGTGCCAAAAAGCCACACTTACCTAGTTGAACTATTTGACTACCAAACCACCTCAGAATAGCCTGGTTACTGTACTCACAATATTCACTTAATTTATCTTGAATAAACTTATCAAAATAATTCAGAAGTCAGAATGAATCAAACTTTTCTGTAGGATCTGTACAATGTTTACATCCATGCTATAGGCTAGATCATTTTATATGCTTTGAGTAGCCTTTGTTGACAATAATGCACATTTTTTTGCATCCCTAGGGACTTATAATGTTATGTTAGCACTAAACAAGTGGTTATAATTTTTTGACATTTTACAACACTTTTTGTTGCTTAATATTACTTTTTTTACTCCACTGATCTTAGGGACTAACAGCACAAAAAGCCATAATTAGACATAGTTAGTCAACCAGCTGAGACTGAGAACGAAACTTACAGGAAGCAAAGCCTTATTCCCACTACAGTCATAGACGGCAGCAAATCAACAGTTCTCTGGCCCCTGAGAATGATTTGAATGCAGAATTCCTTTTACGTGTGTTTAGGAGCAATTTAAAGCAGGAAGACTTGACTTTTAAGTAATCCAGGCTTTTGTATTTTAGAGAAAACTCCCTTTCATTTCCCCTGTCATTCCAGGAATTATTCCTATCTCCCTATCATGGGTAACATCCTCTGCACACCTCTTGTATGTCTGTGCAACCATGACACACTTTCTTGATGGGGATTTGAACCTGTGACCTCTTAACACTGCTCACACAGGTAAACTACAGGAGCTTATAAAGTTTTTTATTGGGACATATGCCTTTCAAATTATCAGCTTCACATTAAAACATGCAAGAAATAAAATAAAAGTCTATATGCTGTCCAGGATTTGGCCCAATCATTTCCTGACTGCAAAGGCAGAACTCAAACTAGTGATCCACACAACCTCACAACCAACTTAGCTATCTTTCTATTAGTACACAATATCCTATGCAACACTTATAAAGGAAATGTCTGTAGCCAATCACACTGAAAATGATTCATTTTACTGCCTAGAAGCAGAGCATCAGCATTCCGTTCTAAAGGCACTAAACTGAGATCACAGAGCTCAACCAGGCCTTCAGGGATTTAAACCAATAACCTTAGTGCAGTTCACCAAACCAATGCACCACAAAGCCACACTGAAATTAAGAGGTAAACTATGATTAAGGCACTTAAGGACAGCACTGAACGATACTATTATGAATGCAGTAGCAGTAGCCCATCGTGCCTGTGAAATTTTCATGAGAATTAAGTGACTCTTCATGAAGTACTTTGATATTAGCAAGTTATCATTTGCAAGTTTGTGCTGTGCTAATACAGCCATGATGTGATGAAAAATTCAATGATACAAATAAATCTAAGTGAAAGGTTTTGATTGATGAGATCATGGACGGTATTCAAGGGTGATAAAAATTAGGGCAAAATGTAATATGTGTTCTTATTCTAGTCTTTATAAAGACAATTTTTGTTAATTTAGTCCGTGCTTGTAAATTCTGTCAACTTAGAAAAGGAATGAACGGAAACTCAAAACATCATCATGGTTAAAATAACAAAACCATGTAATATCCATCCAAATTTAACAGTAACTTGTAAAAAGAAGCTCCTGGATGCTCAACCCTAAACAATGTAGATGCATAAAAAAGAACATAAAAGTACAAACTCCACTCAAAGTTGTTTTCTCTTTGGTTCTAAAGTTCTTTTTATTTTACTAGCATTAAGCATTTGCAGTCAGAAGTTAGATGGTGTTGTAATTTCCCATGAACCTGGATGCAGGAATCCAAAAGGCCTCACGTGTTCCAGTAGGGATGGAAAACACTGAAGTGATTATACATTATTACTATACTTGCATACTAAAGTATTACTGAATAATCATACTTCTACCCAATTACATTTCATTCCCACTCCCTGGAGATATTTTACATTTCTAGTTGAAAGACAAAGAGAGCCATATCTTTAAGGGAAAGTCTGACTTAAGACCGATCTGATTTCATGTAATTCTCAAATATCTGAAGAACTGGAATATATAATGAAAACTAGAATGGCATCAAACAGTGATTAGATTACTTGATACACAATGTCATGACTTTAAAATGTGGCACTAGCACTATGCATATTATAATTCACTGTGAAAGTAGTGTTTTAGTGATGGGCTGGAGGATTCAGAGGCTGTGGTCCATTCCATACCAGTATTAAAGAAGAACACTCCATCAACGCACACGATTAATGGCCTTTCTGGACAGATAAGAGGTCAAGACCAAGACCTTTTTACACAGGGTAACATCTCACTTGAATAACTGCAGATTTTTTGCATTCCTTAACGTACAAAAACTTTCGATAAGAATGGATTGAAATAAGTAATGAAAGCCCCTGTAAACATGGTTTCAAATGTTTTTTTTTTATTTTAACAGTAAAGATATGCCATAGAAAACGTGTTTACCAGTGTAATATTCAAGAAATACATAGAAATTTAACAGTAGATAAATGCTCCAAAAATTCCAAGCTGCTGGCTGCTCAGGACTGTGTGGGTTTGTCAGAATGCAAAATGACTGACAGTGGCATCTCCCAGGCAATGTAAACAACGTAGCACCAGTGGCACTGGTTCAGCCCCACATATTTGAGCCCCCCGCACACAAACGATTGTAAGAAAGAAAAACAGCACTTTACAGTAGCCTTAGTGCAGTCTGGGTAGAACTCTTCTCCAGGCTTTCTCCTCATAAAGTCTACCATCAGTTTAACATTCTGCTAAAAGTTTCTTTGTCTGAAACAAATGTCATTTAGTTAAACATTTTTAAGGAACCTGAAGAACTTCATTTAAGTTGACAAATGGTTAAATAGCTTAAGTGAAAGTGTCCAAATACTTTCTAGGGGCCACTGTATGTTTATCGTGCTCTCATAAATGTATTAGGCAACAGTTAACAAAAAAAAATCACCCCTTATCTTAAAATTCCAGGTTATTAATCTTACACAATTGTGTTCTGGTGATACCAATTATACTTAAGCTGTAAATTATGTCCACGATCAGGTACGTCCAGAAACAGATTCTGTCCCAGGAGTTTGCATAGTTCTGTCTCCTCTTTTTCTCCCTCACTTCTTTGTCCATATTCTCCAGGAAACTAGAAATGCTCTGGATGGAGGCCTCTTTCGTAGCTGGCTTTGCAGAACTTGTTATGCCACCACTGAGGTCGATAGCTGCTAAAAGACAAGAAAGCAAGGATTTTCATTTGATGTCCTTTCTAAATTACAGCTCCTCAGCAGTGGTCTTTGCACTAGGCAAACGTAAGCAGCTGCCTAGGGCCCCCATGAGCCAAAGGCCCCATTCAAATACAACCTAGACAAACTGCATGCACTGATGTTAAATAAATAAATAACTGTTATTATTATGACACAACTGCGTAAAGACAGACTGTTGTGAAAAATGCAATTAAGCAATAATTCACTTTGTGGAGAGGAGGTTCCTCAGTTTCATGCACTCAAGTAAATTTGGATGGATGTGTACTTTGTCTGGGTATTTTCAAATGATAAGGCTTGAATTTCAACTGAAGTACATCTGAGAGGAAAGTCTACTTTCTACTCGGTTAGTCTGCTTGGAGATTGATGACAGCTCTGATGCTGGAGCTTTAGCA